TACATTGCATATTAACCATACATGATCGTCACTTAGACGAATACTTTCCATTCTCGCCTCGAAACTTTGTGTATCGGGATGCCTGTGTGAAAAGTCAACACAGGTATCCCAACGAACATACCCAGGTCTCTACGTACAGATTTCTGGTCTAAAATCTACGGACTGCGCGCGAGTGCCAATGTATCTTTATTTCGGTGTAGCTACAGCAACAATAAAGTATTTATTGGTTACCATGACACTGTCCAATGTCTGTTCTTGTCGGTCTKCAAACAAGGTCAGCGGTGGTGGCTTTTGGCATTGACGATAAAAACTACCAAGATCTCCATCCCCATTTGATGGCGTAGCGAAGGCTGGCTTCTACGAATATACAAATAAATGATGGTGAGAGAAGAAAGATAGAAAAGGAAAAACTGGCGATCTTGACAAACGATTTTTTTCACTCTGAATACGGTCGCCATCTTGAATTCTGTTTTTCTAAGAATCGATTTAGTAAGAAACTATGGGATTCTCGCGGGACATGACACTAAATATGAAATAGTTATAGACAGATTGAGTATAAGCCATTCAATCTTTATCATAAAATACAAAACAAAAACAAAAACAAGCAAATAAAACAAAAATAAAAGCAAACAACGAAACAAAACAATTCAAAACCAAGCGAACAGAAAGAAAACAAAACAAAACGAAACGGAATAAAAAAATATTTGAGTCTTTTGAAGCAGATTATCATTATTATAAAGCGAAATTATCAGAGGTAGCAATTTTCCTGTAACATTCTACATGAGGATGTGTGCTTTGTCCACTGAATATGGACTTCACCTGGTTTCTACACAATTCAAGATGCCAGCCATATGTAATAAAGTATATTCTAAACTCTGACTTACAAGTTCGACAAGAACGAAGCCATCATCTCCTCCCCAAAGACTTGGAGTGACGGTGTTTGGTGGCTGTTTATTATCCATTGATTCTGAAGAACTATCCTGTGAAAGGATTTAAGTTTAGGTTAACTTGTCCAGAAACTCGACAACGACCAATACGAGTATCAGTACGAGTTAGATTGTCTAGTAAACTCGTGTGAGTTACAAGAACCAATAACTCGGGAAACGAGTAAAATACAAATCGAGAACACAAAATGAGA